CGCCAGCCTGGCCACGCCCCGGCCCCGAGCACGCGGGAGGGACTCGCTGCCCCCAACTGGCCGCACCTGCGGGCCTCTGCGCCGCCCGCTACCCTCGCTAGCGCCGCGCTCCTGCACGCTCCGGGCCGGGCTCCACCGCAGAGTTCCGCCTCGAAGCACTCCACGGGCCTCGGTGCTCAGCACTGACTCCCCCACTAGGTACCCCTAGAGCTCTCCTCCACTCACTCCCCAGCGCGAGCAACGCCGCGTCTACACGAGCTTGGGTTTCTCTCCAGGTAGGAGGACCTCCGGGGCGCGTGGGGCGGTGTTTTCGGATTTGCGTTTTAGTAAGCTAACTCTGGTTCCCGTGAAAAAGAGAGTAAGGGGCTGAAACTGGAGACAAGGATATTGGTTTCCAGGCTACTCTAACAGGGCAGGGAAAACCGCGAGGGCTGAACTAAACCAGTGGCGGGCAGGATGAGAAGAGTGGACTGGCACTAGGGAGGTGAATGGAATAGTGTGGTATGGAGGATCAGGGTGGGGAGGCATCTGAGATGACACCCACGTTTTGGGCTTGGACAGTGAAATGCATGAAAGGTAGAGTGGCCGGCGGGGTGGCTGACAACCTCAGTTTAGATCTACCTAGGTTAAAGTGCTGGGGGTGGTGTGCAAAATCCCAAAAGAACGTAAGAGAAGGGGATTGTGGTGTAGCCATCACCCCTGGGGTCTTCCTTTGCTGAGTGGGATCGCAACACACACACACACACACACACACACACTTGTCAGGTAAGTCTGAACTCCAACCAAGCACTTCCACTTGCTGTTTACAGGTTAGGCCTGGCTGTGCCCTGCAGGATTTACCTGCTTTCTGCCTTGCCACTGTGCGCAGGCACATGACCGATAGCTTTAGCTTTGCACTTAGTTGTAGATTGGACTTAGAGTTGTTTTTTAGTGACTAAAGCATACTTATTCCAGTATTTATTGAGTGACTCCAAGATCTGGCCATCTTAATTTCTCCTTCTGACTACTATTAACATCCTTTTTCACATTTTCTAAGGTTGGGGGGCCAGCAGCTGGCATGGTGGTTAAAGTGTTGGACTCCCACATGACCCACCACTGTATGATTCCCTGACCTGGAGGCTTGCTTTCTCACATTCCCTATCTCTCTCTGTCTCTCTGGTGAGTGTGTATATCCTATAGCAAATTTTTAAAAAGAATTATTTAATTTTATGTATTTGTTTATGTTAATTTGACCTGAAAGAGAGAAAGTGAGAACGCAAGCCACCAGGTCCAGGACTCGAACCATAGTCAGCCATGTGGAAGTGTCCAGCACCTTAGCTACGCCACCTGCTGGTCTGCGCAAATTAAAATAATAATAAAATTAAATCGTTCCTTTTAAAAAAGTTATGGTTGGTGTGATTAGAGATGATCTGCTATCTTAATTTTCCTTACTGACACCAGCGATATAATTTAAACCAAGTATTTCCCAGAGACATAGTGGAGAGCCACTCTTCGGCCATTCAACCCACATGATTGGATGAGGCAGACCCAGCCCCAACTCTAGGAGTGGACACAGGACCCAGGCCTGGCTACTCAGGGATTGGTGGGGCTTCTCCATTCCCAGGCCCTCGGTGGTCTCATGATCTGAGCCAGACCAATGTGAGTTGGTCTGGGGATGTTTCTGGAACTAGAGAAATCTTTTTTCAACTGTGTTGCTAAGAAAGTTTGGAGCTGCAGCAACCATCTTTACAACCACGTGGGTAGAACTTTGGAAATGCAGCACAGAAAGAAGAAAGCAGAGCTAAGAGGAGACACAGACGTTTCACTTTGTTCGTGCAACTGGAAACCAGCAGTGCTGGAAGTGGCACTAAAGCGGTTTAGTTGAGTTTGTCACCTGTAACTAAGCAATCCATGTTAAGCTCATGGATGTTTTTTAGAACAATTTAATTTTATTTATTATTATTATTATTCACTTTGACCAGAGAGAGAGAGAGAGAGGAAGAAAGGGAGAGCGAGAAAGCAAGCTGCCAGGTCCAGGACTCGAACTGCAGTCAGCCATGTGGGAGTCCAGTGCATTAACCACCATGCCACCTGCCAGCCAGAGCCCATGGATTTTTAAAAAGCTTATTCCTTTCATGATAAGACAGTGTGAGAGCACACTCTCGACAGGGTCTTTTTTTTTTTTTTTTTGGAAAGGTTTAGAGCGTGTGCGCTCACCAGAGACAGAGATCCAGAAAGCAAGAAATCACCCCCCAGGGGGGATGGCCACGCTGC